CCCCAATTTATAAATGACTGACTCCAGTTCTTGTTAAGTGCCATCAAGTCAGTTCCAACTCATAGCGACCCTGTGGAGGTTCTTGGTCAAAGTTCTAAGTGATAAGTCAATATGAAGCACCGACCTTGTGGTTTTAAGTCCAGTGCTGATTCTTCAGCACCACACCAGTAGTGATGACTCATCTGAATCCTAATATGGTCAAAGTGGCTCTCTGATGGCTGACCAAGTGAAACAGGGACACACTTGAGTGTGGACGAGAGGTATCTGAGAGGAAGATGAAGTTAGACTGGGGGTGGGTTTCTTGATATTATTGGCAGATTTTAGATTTGGAGTTTACATGAGTTGTCCTGGGTAACTGGAACCAGGGGAAATTTATACACCAGAGACCGGGAATGAAAAGCTGAAGAGGTATTGAGAGCCCTTTCAGGAACCTGATGTGGAAGACTAGATTATGGGTTAAACTTCACAGAGCGCCACACATTCAAAGTCGCGCTGTTTGGAAGCCATGCTGTTTTATAGTATGTCATTTTGCCCATTCCTCTCCCCCCGCCCCCTTTAGAAAAAGGAGCTCTGGTAGTGTAGTGTTTATAATTCAAGCTGCTAACCTCAAGGTCAGCAGTTGGAAACTACCAGTTCATTCCACAGGAGAAAGATGAAGCTTTCTACTCTTGTAAAGATTTTTAGCCTTGGAAACCCCATGCAGGGTTGCTATGAGTCAGAACTGAGTCCACAGCACATCACCTCCACCAGCGACCGCTCAGGAAAATTGTACCAACTCCTACATCACAGTCATTTTCACTTGCTGCATGTGCACCGTGTTAATCATTGAAAATAATTTTATCCTTTTCTTGCCCTAAAGTAAGGTTGAACATGAACCATATGATGCTCCAGTTCCAACTCACCTACAAACTACCCAAAGACTTAAAAGCCAATTAGGAGTGGATCCTGTTCATAACATGGGCATTGCCTATAAAAAAATAAGAACCTGTAACCCCACTACATAAGTAATGCCCACGATCATTGTATTTAAGCAACTGTAATATGGACATTTTAACAAAACTCACTTATTACCATAGTCTGTTTCAATAAATGATTATCACCAAGTAAACAAATACAAAAGAACCACTTACCAGTTGGCAAGAGTGGAAGTGATAAAATAGAGATCATCTGCATGAGTCCACATACGTACCCCTTGGATGGGCTGTTGCCCAATCTGGCCTCCTCGAGTCCTAGCCAGAGTGTTACCAACGGGTCTTCTTGGGTTTCCATTGGTGCTATACACTCAATGCCATCCTTGGGCCACCCAGTGGACTGAAGAAACCAATATGCTGAATGCTGGGTTTAATTAATTTTTTTATTCTGAAGAAATTTCTATTTTTCCTTTAGAAGTTATGCTGGAGAAGTTGGATCATTCTGCTATCTTTTCAGCCTTTGAAAACATCACTAAGGAGCTGAAAAAAACCTATGAGGTAATGTTATACTAAAAACGGGAAAGCAGCTAGGTCTGAATTGAAAGCAGCAAGTTGGTAGTATTCATTAATAATGGTATCTTCTTTATGTGAAAGTGCACCACCATTTTTGTTGTGGTTTAGTGGCAATGAGTCGGTTTCAACTCATAACAATCCTGTAAAGGGTTTCCAAGGAGCAGGTGGGTTTGAACCACCAACCTTGTGGTTCACAGTCCAGTGCTGATCCTTGCAGCGCCACAGCAGGAGTTCTTTGGGGGAATGTTTATTTAACCATGATTAATAATTTTACTCATACTGGGCCTTGGGTGGTGCAGATAGTTTTGATTAGTAACCAGAAGGTTGTCGACAGTTGAATCCCTCCCAGTTGTGCCATGAAAGAGAGACTTAGCAATGTGGTTCCGTAAAGATCACAGCCAAGTAGAACCTGTGGGACTCAACGTGTATCTTGTAGCCATAGTCAGAAGCAACTCCACAGCAATGAGTTTTGATTTTTGTCATGTATGATTTGGGTTTATCTGGCAGTGGTCACGTGTCCATTTGTTACTTTTAGACCAAATTGACCTCTATGAAAACCACAATCTAGATTAGGCTCCATTGATAATAGTGTCAGACAGCTGAACTGTCTAACTAGAAGCAATGATTTAGTCACATGATAGGTACGGAGGCGAGGAGGATGAGAGAAGAAAGTGTGTGTTGGACAAGAAAAGAGTCTTGGAAGAAGATGGAGGTAGACTATGGGTGAGTTTCTGCTGCGTGCTAGCAGATCTTTGAGATAGTACCCCTGTAGGTGTCCCAGTACCTGTTTGCAAAGTGAATACCAGAACTATATTCTGTATTCTCCATTATGTTGGTGTTGTTAAGTGCCATAGAGTCAGTTCCACCTCATAGTGACCCGGTACAGAATTTGTGAGGAGCAGCTGATCGTGTGGTTTAAACCAACCTTGTGGTCCAGTGCTTTAATTCTACAGTGCCACACCAGGACTCCAGGGATAGCTCATTATAAATCAATGATTAAGTCATTAAGGTGCTCTGGTGGTACACTGGTAATGCACTTGGCTGCTAGCTGCAAGGTTAGCTGTTTGAACCCACGCAGCATCTCCACAGTTGATGAGAACTGATAATCTACTTGTGTAACAAACACAGCCTATGGGACAATTGGACTCTGGTGTGGTGCTGTGGGGTAATGCGCTAAACTGCAAAGTTAGTTTGATCTGCAAGGTCGGTGGTTCAAACCTCACCAGTTACTTCTTGGAAACCGTACACAGGGTCGCTATTGATCAGAACTGACTTAATGACACTTCACAACAACAACAACAGAGACAGTTGTTCTGTGTCCTATAGGTGTCACTAGGAGTCGGAATCAACTCGACAGCTGCGGTGGGTTTGCTTTTGGTTTTTGGTAATAAGATACTAATGCTTGAAGGAAGCATTTTATTTTAACCAACCTTCATTTATCTAAGCTAGAATGTCCTCCAAGTTGCCTTTACTTTCTGGGATACCAGTGATTTATAGTGGAAATTTGTTCATATTTGTTCATACATAGTCTTTATGAGAAGTCCTGGCGTAGTGTTTTAGGGTAAGCACTGGACTGTCAAACACAAGTCAGCGTTTCAAACCTATACAGGGTTACTATGAGTCAGAATCAACTCAACAGCACTTCGTACCATCACCAGTCTATATGAGGGGGCATCAGACAAAAATGGAATTAAAAGATCATCAAATTTTTCTATACATTTTTTGAAGCCCCATGGGGTGGTGCAGTGGTTTAAACATTGGATAGTAGCCAAAAGGTTTCCAGTTCAACTGCACCATGTCTTCTGTAGGAGAAAGATGAGGCAGTCAACTTCCATGAAGATGTACAGCCCTCCGTCCTGTAGGGCCACTGTGAGTTAAAGTCAACACTCCGGCAGTGGGGACCATCTATGTATGTACTGATCAATTGAATATAGAGGCCTGGTGTGGTGCTGTGTGATGAAGCACTAGACTTCAAGGTCTCGTTGGAACTGACTCATATATTTATTTCCTGTTATGGCGTGTCCTTTATTGTGCCGAATGTTAGCTAGCTAATAGTTGAAATGTGTGCCGTGGTGCCAACAGTTGTCTGACAGCTACCTTTGCTGTGTATGAACATCAACGTATGCTATTGGCTGGTGGTGTATTTATTTATTTTACTTTGTATTGTGAATTAAGTGGAAGTTTATAGACAAGATCATCAGCTTTACATTCAGCAAATTCTACGCTTTGTTTCATCTCAATGATTTATAGTTAGCCTGCTTCCTGCCTGTGGCTTTCCTTTTAACATCTTATATTTCGCAAATGAGCAAAGCAAAAATATTTGCACACATGCAAAACAAACAAACAAACAAATATATATATCCATTCAAATGTCCACAGGGCATATTCTGCAAGCTAGTCTACTCCCCATTGGTACACAGCCTTATTAATTCCAGAGATCTGGAGTCCACAGCTAATAGCTCTGGTAGCGTAGTGGTTACAAATCAGGCTGTGAACCATAAGGTCAGCAGTTCAAAACTCCCAGCTGCTCTGTGGGAGAAAGATGAGGCTTTTTGCTCCCGTTAAGATTTACAGCATTGGAAACCCTGTTCAGGGTCACTATGGGTCAGAACCGACTTGATGGCACTTAACAACAACAACAGAGTCCACAGCTACTCTGCTCTCCATGCCACCACCACTGCTGTCACCACTATGCTAAGTGGGAATCTCCTACTCCACTCATACACTTCCGTCATGATCGTCTGTTCCTAGAATGAAAGATTAACTATTCTCTCATTTTAGTTAAGCCTCGGAAACCGTATACAGGGTCACTATGAGTCGGAACCAACTCCTTGGCACTTAACAACAACAACAACATTTTAGTTACTCATCGTCTACAATTTACAGTTTTGACAAACAATCTTAGTGACAATTACACAGTTGTGTCGTAAAATTCTATTAGCAGTATGCCCCACCCCTGTCATCAGACCCATCCGGAAAAGAGGAAATCTAATTCAGTGGGTATTCTAGCTTACCCACCTTATTCTTAAATGCAGCACACTTACGGTAGCTTGTGAGGCAGCTGATTCATGTCTTTATAACCCAAACCCCAGTTTTGATAGTGTTGAATTACCCATCTGTCAACTGAGTTGCTATCCACCAGTCATCTGTCTGTCATCTGTCATACATCATGGTGTCTGTGGTGGCTTGCATGTTGCTGTGATTCTGGAAAGTATGAGATAGATACTTTAATTACCACCAGGATCACCCAAGGTATGGACAGAGTTCAATTGAGCTTCCAGATGAAAACAGCCTAGGAATAAGGAGACAGACTACTTTAAAATATTTAGTTCCTGAAACCCTTGTGAGTAGCAGTGGAACAGTGTCAGCACCAGATTATTGAATATTGAAATATGATGAAGAGCACCAGAATATTGTTAGATATAGTCCCAGAAGATAAGCGCTTTAGGTTGGAAGGCACTCAAAATGCAACTGGGGAAGAGCTGCTTCCTTAAAGTAGAGTTGAACGTGATGACACTCAAGAAGTAAAGCCCTCGGGACCTTCATTTACTGATGGGCCACAACTCAAAATGAAGAGAAATAGCTGTAAACATCCATGAATAATTGGAACATGGAATGCATAATCTATGAATTCAGGAAGTTTGGAAACTGTCAAAAATGAAATGGATTCCATAAACTACAGTGGACTGGTATTGACCATAATGAACCTGACAATCATATGCTTTACTATCCTGGGAATAAAAATTGAAGAATGGCATCACATTCATCACACAAAAGATCCGCCTTTGTGCCCATTATAAGAGAGGTGACCATCATCAAAAAGAACATATCAAGATTGGTCCTGAAGTACATCCCTGTCTGTGTTATGATAATGTCCACATGCCTACAAGGATGATCAGTAAATACCATTATTATTCACATTTACACACCAACCACTAAAGCCAGTAATGATGAAATTGAGGAATTATACCAACTTATTCAGTCTGAAACTGATCAAACATACAAGAAAGATGTATTGATAATTACTGGAGATTAGAATGCCAAGGTTGGAAACAAAGATGAAGGATCAGTAGTTGGAAATTAATGTTCTCAGTAATAGAAATGATGCTGGAGATCACATGATAGAATTTTGCAAGACTTTTTCATTGTAAATACCTATTTTAAACATGATTGTACACATTGTCTTGACCAGATGGAATTGACAGGAATCATACTGACTACATCTGTGAAAAGAGACAGTGGGAAAGTTCCATATCATCAGCCAAAAAGAAGACCAGGGGTAGACTGTGGACCAGACCAACAATTACTCATATGCAAGTTCAGGCTGAAGCAGAAGAAAATTAAAACAAATCTATGAGAGCCATAATATGACCTTGAACATATCCCACCTGAATTTAGAGACCATCAGAAGAACAGATTTTGATGCATTCAACACTAAAGACCGAAGACCGGAAGAGTTGTGGGATGGCATCAAGAACATCATAAAGGAGAAAGCAAAAGGTCATTAAGAAGACAGGAAAGACAAAAAGGCCAAAATAGATGCCAGAAGACACCCTGAAACTTGCTCTCCAGCACAGAGATGGTAAAGCAAATGGAAGAAATGAGGAGGTAAAGAGCTGAATAGCCCAGCTCAAGAAGAGAAGTTCAACTATTATAACAAATTTGTGAAGACATGGCATTAAAAAATGTAAGGGGAATAACATGCTTATCATTTCTCAAGCTGAGGGAAGTGAAGAGAAAATTCAAATTTCCATTTAACAATACTGAGGGATTCTATGGGCAAAATAGTGAATGATGCAGAAAGCATGGAAAGTAAATGGTAGGTGTACACAGAGTCACTGTACCAAAAAGACATGTTCGATACTTAACAATTTCAAGTTGTTGCATATGTCCAAGAGCCAAGGGTACTTAAGGAAGAAGTCGAAGTCCAAGGTGCATTGAGGGCATTAGTAAAGAAGAAGGCAGCAGGAATTGATGGAAATTGAAGTCTTTTAACAAACTGATGAAGCACTGAAGGCAATCACTAATCTATGACAAGAATTTGGAAGGCAGCTTTCTGGACAACTGACATCCGCCTTTTGTTCCCTTTATAAGAGAAGTGACCCAACAGGAAGCAGAAATCATCATACAATGTCTTTAATATCACACTCAATTAAAATTTTGTTTCAGGCTGCCACCATGCATTGAAGAAAAACTGCCAGAGGTTCTAACCACATTCAGATGAGGACTTGGAACAAGGGATATCATTGCTGATGTCAGAAGAATCGGGGCTGAAAGCAGAGAATACTAAAAAGATATTTACTTGTGCTTTACTGACTATACAAAGGTTTTTGATTGTGTGGGGATCATGACAAGTTATAGAATGAGTATTTTGGAACACTTAATTTTGGTCATGAGGAACCTGTACATAGATCAACAGGCAGTTACTCAAACAAAGCAAGGGAACACTGAATGGTTTAAAATTAGGAAAGGTTTGTGCAGGGTTTTATTCTGTCACCATACTTTTTGAATGTATATGCTGAGAAAATAATCCGAGAAGCTGCATTATATGAAGATAAACACGACATCAAGATTGGAGGGTGACTCTTTAACATCCTAGTATATACCACTTTACTTTCTGAAAGAGAAGAGGACTTAAAATATATTTATTTAGGAAGATCAAAGACCATAGCCTTCCATATAGGTTGCAACTTAATGTAAAGAAAACAAAAATCGTCACCACTAGACCAATAAGCAGCATCCAAAGAAATGGAGAAAAGATAGAGAATGTCAAAGATTTCATTTTGCTTGGATCAACCACCAACACTCATTGAAGCAGTAGTTAAGAAATCAAATGGTGCATTCCATTAGGCAGATCTGCTCTTTAAAGTGTTC